ATCATATTATCAGAAGAAAACCTGAGCAATCAATTCATTCAATGTAAAAGGCTAAAACACCCAAAACGTATTCGATTTTGTGCTTCTCCGTTTTCACTGTCACCTGACTCAAATACATTTTTTCAAGAATTTAGTATTTACCCAACGTATTTGAATGTCAGCTATTCATCTAATATAGAGATTAGTAATATTATCAGTCTAGGCAGAAAATACTATCCACTGCATGGAATTAATACTCGTAACTGCTGTCACCTATTGTGCATAAATCATAATACATCAAACATTCATGAAGACTCAAAGCAAAATTCATTCAACATGAATCCAAATAAATCAGAGTATTTACATAGAAACTTACTGTAAGTATGCTTTTATATTTAAATATTTTCTTTTCTAATGTGAGGATATGCTTGAAAAAACTGTCACATAAGTGAAACAGAAGGTTAAGCTAAACGTAGTTTAGATTAACTCGAGTCCTTTGGTGATTTTCTAAGCGTTTCATTGAACTAAATTCTGTTTGAAACTTAATGTGTTGATTGCACCATGTATCGGTAAATAGAAAATATCCAGCTGAACTCATACTAGCACTATGGCTATAAAGTAGTCTGTCATAATAGACTGATCCACTAGCTTATCATAGTACAACTATGAATGAAAGTGGGTCATTTTAAGTTTAGACACTTCAGAAAAGAACACATTAATGTAGACAGGAACTGTAATAAACGATCGTGTAAGAGGATAGAATAATGAGATGAAGATTACTCGAAAACTTTCAGAACCTGAGAGAGGTTACATGTCCGCTTTCGTGATAAACTGTGAACCATAACGACCTAACTGCTAGTTCTTGTCTTATTGAAAACCCTAGCACGTTAGTCTGAAAGTCAATGACTGCATGGATTGGTGTTATGTTTCATTCCTAACTTAATCATATTTTAGTTAATATTGCCCATCTCGTGAGGTGGTTGCTCAGTATGCTTGTTCTGGTCACGTCAATCTACAGGTCTTCACAATCTCACCGACTTACTTTCCATCGCTACCTAAAGTACCGTATATAACTCAAATGAAATCACATACGGCCAGAAAATTTTGTTTCACATGTTTTACTTTTAACTGTCGTGTCAGTACAGATGCACATTTGAAGCCAAACAACAAGCTTGCACCAAATTACTAAACAAGCTTTTTGTGTCTGTACTCGGATATATTCAGTGTCAAGCTAATAAAACAGATTATTAAAATCAGGAAAGCGTTTGATTCATTTAAAAAAATAAATAGCCTGAACCCAGCTCAACTAACTCTGTGGCGTAAAAAGCACTTATTGCATCGAAAGTCTGAAGATAAAACTATATTATTGGCTGAACAATACATGGTTGGATCAAGACATTCCTCAACAATAAATTCTATTTGTACTGTATTTCCATTGTAAGAAAAAAAGAATAAAAAACTAGTAAAAATCGAAGAGAGGAAAGGTTGGGCATAAGGCTAGCAACCCCATCCTGTAAAATTAAACACTGCTACAGAAACTTCAAGCCACTAGCTTGAGGCCATATGTTCCACTGGGAACGTGAAGGAGAAAATATTTTTCCCTTCTTAGTGTTTGAGTTTGCCAGTGGTACAGTGAAACTGCACGCTTTATAACTACAGTTCTATGGCATAGATTACTAATATATCAGTAGAATTTGGGTGGTGTAGTAGAGTATTGTTCCAAAGTAGACTAACGTTATTGACATAAAACATAATTGTTGCTATTTTATTTTTATTTTATTCCTTTACGTTCCTACTGGAACATAGGGCTTCAAGTTAATCCGTTGAAGTTCCGGTTGCCGTGGTGCTTTTTTGCGGGTGAAGTTGCCAGCCTCATGCCTAACCTTTCCTCTTTACCGGTCTTATTGCCGGCTTAGAGAGGTTTAGGTGTGCATCGTTCAGGGATCGAATCCTGAGCTACATGCACAGTTGGCGAGCGTTCCACCGCTGCAACACCGATGCACCATAAAACACAGTGATACAGTGTTATTTATTTAATGATGACTTTCTGAAGACAACTCTTTGCTATTGGCCATATCAAAGCGCTTTTTCATGGTGGACTGATTAACAAACTTCAGCAGACATCAATACATACTAGATACACGAAAATCGTTACTCTTTAGTTATCAACCAATGGAGGATATCCAATACCACTGGAGATATTGGTAGTCTTACTGCTATCCCCTCTCACCTGAAAGTAGCAGATGTCAGACATAACTGAATTCACATGGAGATTTCTTCGGTGTGTATACTTGTCTTGTTATCTCTGGATCAACCGCAGTGACTGGAATACTGGTATGGAGACGGGGCACAACAATACAAACCAGGTTTTGACATCAGGAAACATGTGTTGCATCACATAAATTATTCTGTTGTGAAACATAAAATCGTGTCTTGACCTACAGCTTTTCCTTACTAACACTAGCAGTCTTTAAGCAGTATTTTTTAGCTGCTGAGCAACCCGCATTGAAGTCAGATATGACTGGTTCTAAGCAAGTCTTTTAGACTTTCGATATCTGTTAACAAGCCTGTGAAACCGACCGCCAAATATAACTGCCTCCAAGATAGTAACTACTTAACTAGTCTTTTGTTTCCACTCAGAGTTTGGGTCAGTAACCAGCCCATTAGGTATGATTAAGCTGGTGTAACTCCTTAAACTTGAAGTTGGTGAATATTAGTCTTGTAAAGTATTCTTACATTGAATAGAGGCGAATCACATACCGAATACGCTCAGATGTCCGTCATGATGTCTAAAAAACTGGATGTTTTGTCGAAATACTCACCAAAATGCGTTAATTCACGATCACAATATTTGCTGAATTATATAAATGCTGCATAGTTTTCCAGTTAACAAATTATGTACTGAAATATATTGTCTGCCTAATTTACAAGGGATTTTTTTATTCCTTTACGTTCCCAGTGGAACGTAGGGCTTGAAGCTAGAGGCTTGTCGTTTAAGTAGCAGTGGTATTTATTTTTACGAGATGAGATTGCTAGCCCCATTTCCACCATTCCATCCTAACCAGTCTTATTGCTGGTTTAGCGAGGTAAAGGGGTGCGTCGACCGGGGATTGAATCCTGGACAAACTTAGTGGTTGGCCAGTATTCTACCGCTGTGCCACCGACGCACAATTTACAAGGGATAATTCTATCTTATGTGCTGTATGAAACTTACCCGATTCCATAGGGAAATCCGTAGGCACACAGTATGTATGGTTAGTGGCATGGTTGGCCACCTAAAAGTCCTTCATGAAGTACTGGGTAATGACTGATCTTCTTTAGCACGGCTATGTGTTCCTTAGAGGAAATTACTGGATCTCCTTTCCGTTGTGATTATAAGAAATTAGGTTTCAACACATTACCTGTTACAAACAATGGTTTTTAAAGTTACTTTTAGCTGAATAGTACTCTACATCATTTGTGCATTGAAAGTAGTCATCTTTCAAGAATTTTAGTTTAGTTTAATGTACAAAATAGAGTGCTTAAAATGTTAACTATTGTTTGGAGTTGCTTTTTTTGTTTGCGTGTTTCTAATAGTTTGTAAAATTTAGTATTAAACTTAAGCGTTTTTCTCTCTTTTTTTCCAAAATGCATTATTTGGTATTTTATCATCACTTTTACATTTAGTAGCCTTAATTTCAGTATGAAATAGCCACTGAGTGATCTTTAATTCGGTGTTTTTTTTCATACAAAATTATCACTAATACTACTCATCCTTGATACATATGTTTGCCTTTTGATGCAGTGGAACTATATGTTATGTGATTTATATTTCAAGCTGAAACACAGAATAAACACTGGTTAAGGGCAACTAGATATTGGTGACTAGAGACTTTTGGTGACTTTTCCTGTTAAGAGACTGCGTACGTTTCCTGTTCTGAATGCAGTAATTGTTTCATGGATTTATTTTCTTTCTACAAGGGAGACAAGATTAAATAGAAATAATGAATTGCGTTCCAAAATACTTATGTACACACCTGAAACAATTGAGGATGTTAAACATACCATTATTCCTAATCCTACGAATGTTAGACATGTCTATAGCTGCGATATGACATTTCTAACTAGGACTTCACTACTGTCCACTTGATCTAAACATATGTTTAAGTTGTAACTGGAATAAATTAGACTGACTTGTCAGTATAATGGATTGGTGAATCGAAAAGTAACTATCTTTTATCCAAGAACTTAGAAACATACTTCACCTATTAATCACATCCTCAACAGTAACGACTAAATACCAAGGCTTGCGGAATATCAAAAAATCTCTATTCTTAGCCGGAATTATTAACTATCATTATTTCACAACGACACGTAATTTGTTTGTCCGCAGATCACTCAGCCTTAACTTAATTTCCGTTTAATCAGATATTGTGGAAATTGTGGAGTTCACACAACACTACAGGAGGAACGGACGAGGATGTGAAATCGAGAATCGGGAAGGCGAGAAACACATTCATTCATCAACCTGAAACCAATCTGGAAATCGTCGTCACTCAGCCAGCATCAACAACAAAATTCGGTCGGATTTTCAACACAAACGTCAAGTCAATCAGTTCTTCTATACGGATCAGAAACTTGGCGGGCGGGTCACAAAGAATATTTCCAACAGCCTGTTGCAGACCTTCATCAACCAACAACTGTCTTCTCTGGATCTATACTGAAGATCAGATGGCCGGGCCAGAAAGAATCACCAACAAGAAACTATGGGAAGAAACAGAACAAGAACCAATCGCCCAACTAAAATGCAGGAGAAAGTGGAGATGGATTGGACAGTCGCTGAGGAGGCCACCGCTGGGTGACATCGCACGTCAGGCCATTGCTCGAGTGAGACCAGGCCGAGATGGAAGCGGCGAGTGGGTCATCAGTGCAATGGTGGCATGGAGGAGATCGTGTGAAGAGAAGTTGATACAGTATGGACTAACATGGACGCATGTGAAAAGTACGGCAGAAGACAGAAGCAAGTGGAGACGTGCAGTTGAAGCCCTATGTTCCACTAGGAACCCTGAGGGAACATTAATAAAAATAATAAATATTGGTGATAAACATTTAGCCAATTCATATATTATGAAATCTCTGAAGAGATTTATTTCACCAGGTTATATGAACCTGGAAAAAAGACACCCATCCTAATTGTATTACCAATTTCAAACTACTAACATTCTATCGAAAACGATGAAATACGAGCGGCAGCACTATTTATAGGTTCTTAAATTCTATTCATGAAGGTTTTTCAACCTCATGAAAAGATTTTCCTTGGACAGATATTCTTTAACATGCTTAAATTATTTTAGCATCGCTGCAGCTTTTACTGGTTTGGCTTTATCAGATTTGGTGATTAGCACCCCGCTATCATACAATAAATCTTTAAAAGCAGGTATTTCCGAATATGCTAAGTTCCTTCCGGCTTTATATTTTAGTCTTGAAAGATATTCAGTAGCCAACATTTTTAATAAGTCCGCTGCTACTTCCACTTGAGAGTTTCAGTCAATCTGCAGTTATGTTGCAGTACAGTGCTTCCACATCAGTCGTTGAAATTACTTAGCCTCCATTTACTTCTACTAAAATTTGATAATTCTCACCGCTCACTTTCTTCCCGGTCTCATATTTCTATTTCTGTTTTACTTCCAGTATGCGGGTAGCTCACTTCAAAATTATTTAGAATAGCAGAAGTCTTGATACAAAGAATATATCACGCAGAAAATTACCTGCATGCAAGAATAAATATTTTATCAAGCTTCAGTTGCCTATATTATATAAGTCCAAACCAATCGCACTTTTAACAGTTTGAAAACACTTGGGCAGTTGGTTTATGATATTCATTTATTATAGACGTTTTTGTATTTCAATGAATAAAGAAAACGATATTGTTTTTTTTTACTACAATATCGTTTTGTTGGTCACTCATTGGGAAATACAAAAACTTCCGTTGTCTATATTATCTGATTCAAAGAATTTATTATTGCACAAAAAAGTATCATATTACTTTTTTACCGCTTATCGCAATCAAAAGCAAGATAATCAGACAAGAATAACTCATTGCAGATAATGCGATCTGAAGCTGAACATCAATTCATAAAACAATAAGAGAGAATGTGTCACCACTAGAAGCTGGTTGCATTATGCTTTTCAAGCGAGTATTCTGTACATCACTGAACAAGTCGAAGAATGCCATAATCGGTAATATCATCAGTCATGCGCAAATCGTTTCTATGAGGCGTAATTTGGCTAAAACATCTCTCCAGTCCCAAAACTACATCTAACTCAATCTATCCAGCATTCATACTAACAAAAAGTTCTCATGTGATTTAGAAAATCTTGTCAAATAACAGTAAATTTAGTTATTATATATGCACACCACAAATGAAAACACTTTAAAGAACTCAATGTGATGTATGGATTTTTACTTTGGGGTTAATGTGCTTCATGTAGAGTAAAATTGTGACTTTTTTTAAATGCTTTAGAGAGGTATACTCAACTTTATATGTATATATATATATATATATAATTGATAGCAGTATTTATGTAATGCTGAAATACTGCAAAAGTAGCTTACAACTCCAATCATTTTGATGCAAAATAGAATATGTGAGTGGGTGTTATCTAAGTTAAGCATAGAGTTTAGATATAAATGAGCTATGATTAGCTAAGTGTGTCTAGAATAGAAGTTTATATAAAACATTAAAAAGAAACTATTCATTTAATGTCATCTCAGTGATTATCTTCTTCTCTATAGTTGTATGTAGCTTTTCGACAGCTTGTATAAAAATAACTTTACTTTGGTTATATCCTACATTACAGGATAATAAAAAGTTATAATATCATTTGAGTGTATTGCATATGTATACTCATCTATGTTGTATGACATACAGAATAACAGTGAAGGCATAAAAGATCACTTGGTCCGATTTAATGATGTTATCAACAAAAATATAAGAAAGTGAGTAAAAATGTTTTTATATGTGTAGTAATTTCGGTCATGAAAAATGCCTGCAACTGATTTTTCAACTGAATAATGATTTTTATTTTGTCTCGTGTAACAGTGTTTGAAGTTACCAACTCCCTTGCAGAATGGAAATTAATACACTGTGTAGTTTGTAACTTATTACGAGCTTCGGTTATATACAAATAATGACAAAGACAAAGTTGTGATTAGTTTTATTTGACCTACTTCTTTTCATCTATTCTGATACCTGTGCTTATAATTAAAAACGTTTTCTTTAGCCTGGTACCATCTGTAAATCCATGTACATCTGGACACTGAGTAAGCACATCATACACGTTGGATGATTCCTGGTAGTCAGCAAGGCACAACAATCTCAGAAAGCTTAGTACTTGTTTGCATACATAGTTGTGACATGTTTGCAACCAAGAATAAATTTGCACACTTTAAGAGATTCTAACATGGAGACTGAAAATCACTGACTTTATCTCTTGATGTTGTGCATTAGAATGTGAAGTGAAATCTCACATAACACTGGAAGTTGATGGGTTCCAAGTACAAACTTCACTAAATACTAAACAACTCTAATTTTCCAACGTCAGATAAAGTTACTCATTTCGATTCTTTTCTAATTATCAGTGAGTAGCACAATTTAAAAGCTTCTTTCCACCACATAATACAGGTTTGAGTAATCAACAACACCTAAACGTTCACATAACCCATACTCAAGACACAAGATTAGTGGAGATGCCAGTAGGCATATCACGAAGTCACAGAACCCAAAGGTTAAACCTAACTTGTAACAGAATTAACTAGAAAATATGGGAATCACATGCATATATGAATGCTGATTCTTATGGTGTAACTATTTGCTTTCAATAACCCAATTTTGTGAAGGTATTCAAGGTCTTCTGGATATCATTCAAGAGAAAGTTACCTAAAAAGCATTCTAGGTACACTTTTTAATCTCCATGTAAGTATATATATATATGCGTAATCATGATGGATTGTGATCATAGTAACAATTCTTAAACTCTCGTATTACTGAAAAAGAAATGTTAAACAGGAATTAGGGAATATAAGCAAATATAAAGTGATAAACGTCCAGATGAGAATAGAGATAAAGTGAAGAATCATCATTCAGTCCACATGATGTAAATGATTACAAGTAAAATAACAAAAATGTCATTATTTACAAGCGTAACATTAAAATTTTCAGACGTCCACTTAGCAATACTGAAGAATAAAGAATTACGAATTTTATCAGATTTTATAGGTTGGCAAAAAATCCGAAACTATAGTAACAGAAGTAATTTTTCAAATATTTTCATATATATGGCTCTTATGTGAAATAAATGTTTCCAAAGATCACCCAGATGCATATTGAGTGTGAGCTCAAAGCTTTCTGACTGAGCAGTGGAAGCCTGAGCATGATACTGTAAAGTTTAATCACCCTGTTCTTTTACATCTTGCATAATTAATGGTGAATAATGAACACTGTCAATCTTTGCCCAGTCATACTGAGTGTTGCTAGTGCATAGTTTAGAAAACAGTTTTTGTTCTTTTACATATTTACAAAAGGCTTGGTAGCTAGACAGGCAAATCAGCCATTTTCTGCATGCGATGCTTTTTGTCTTACTTTGGAAAAACTGATTCCAAACAGTGTAGTGAGAAACAGCTCCTTTCACTACCCATTTTCAGAATTATCTTTTTAAATTATGAGCGTTTTGGAAGCACATGTAGCATCATTTAGTTTTATGTAGTTACCAACACCCAACCATCTTAACAACTGATCAGACTGATTTGATGATTCTAAGAACCACACTTTTCAAAACAGACCTTGTGATAAAACAACATCATCCTTAAAAGCAATGAATTCCTGTACGGCTGCTTTACCGTGGTTAAGAAATCCTCACAAATACTTCACAATAATCCCTCTAATGATCCCATTCAATGCAATTATATGTGAGCTGAACACATCACCACTTAGATAGTGGATTGGAATTCGATGATTCCTGTCTTCTAAATTCAGCCAATTTGCAACACAGTGAATATATGCCCCACATAGGATCTCAGCTTCTAATAAACAACGTAGCAATATATAAATATTGGACTTGTAGGCATTTGATTTATTCAGAATAGAATATACACAACCGGGCTAATGAGCTCACTGTTGTGTCACCGAAATGTTCGGTCCCTTTTAGCACATGAATCGAAGGTGTCTGAAGACTAACATGATGCTATTTGGTGGATGGTGACCAGCAGTAGAGTCCACGATGCATATTTTATTTTATTTGGCATCCGTTAGCTAGATGTACTTGCAATTTCCGATGAGTATTGGCATTCCCATTGAAACTGAGACCCAGCACCCATCCTTTCAAACTTTGAAGCGTCATCCACTCAGTCCCTTGCACCAAATAGAAAGAAATGCGAATCCAACATTTTACTAAAAATCGCCATTAGCCAAATAATACCCTCCTAATCCTAACCTGTCGTCGAAGTGTCCGTACTAGAAGCCGAAATATCATCAGAAAATCGACAATTCGTTCCTATACCTCTTAGCATTTTATAAGTTATCATTATGTTTTTGACTATTCTGACTAATTCATCTTTAATTGCTGATCACGTAATCAGCTTCAGTACTCATTTATTCCCTAATTACTCCTAATTTTTTTTAATTATGCATCAATCTGTCCACTTTATGAAATTTTACTATTTCCACCTTTTAATTGTTTTTTTAATTTGTCTACCTAATTACCACCTCGCCTGACGTGGTGATATCGACTAATTATTCCATACGCTTATTTCCCTTATGAACATGAATAAAGCATGAACAACAGTTTGTGTAAAATAAAACAGTTCCATTGTTTATTTCATCCGATTCTCATCAACCCAAAGAAATTATTAAGTTTACTCACAGGCCAGTTTTAACACAATTACGAGTGTTACACGGTGTCGGCTGATAAGAGGCTCCAAACTTGATAAACAGTGCTCAGAAATCCCACTGATATAAGAACAGAATTATATAAACGAAGTTAGAAAGTTTTGTGAGTACCTTCATATGATTATGAGCAGCAATAAATTGTGCTCAAAACGTCATCAGTAAATAAACACTGTGGGATTTTATCAAAATAAATTTTCAAGTGTTGGTTTGTAGGGATTTGATTGGTTACAGGATTTCATCATGAGCTGACATTGGTTAGAGAGCCATTGGAAAACCTGGGAGTACCGGACAGCTGTTTCGTCCTAGTTTGGGACTCTTCATCAGTACGCACCCACCAAGATTCGAACCCAGGACCTTCTGGTTACAAGATGAGCTCCTATGCCATTAAGCCACTGGGACCCGACCCAAAGGCCCGTGATTTCTAACCTCTGCCAATTCACGACATAGCGCAACCGCTAGCCAGTGTCTTTGGCGAGTATTTGTCCTCACACCCAACCTGCTTCACCTACTGATCACGACTTTTTTTTGACTATAGCTTGATTCCACACCGTATTTTTGGAATAAGTATGGAATTTTCAGCATGTGATATCGGTAGCCCAAATTTTGCAGGCCGACCATAGATATCAGGTGTGCGTCGACAGGGGATAGAACCTCGGAACATGTGCATGGTCTTCTTCTCACTAGAACCCCAGGTAACTACCTAAAATAAATTTCACTCAGAAATCCGACTTATGTAGATTATGCTCAGGAAGTTTAAGTTTAAACAAAAAATGAATGCTTGCATAAAGTGGCAAAGATTTACGTAATAAAGACAAGAGATAAATAAGATGATGAGTAACCATATGGTGGGTCGGACTCAAGTCATGGTACCATCTTATTCTGCACATGACTAGTTATTGTTAAATAACTTATCCTCACTTAACTGGCAAATTTTTAGTATTTTATTAGAAATGTTACATGCATTACATTAGAGTCGTAGATTGGGATCTAAATGAGAAATAAATATTTCTTCACTCAATCCTTTGGTCTTCTAGATGTCTAAGTGAGGATGTTTAATGCCAGTATAATCAATAAATGGGAAATACAGAATTAACTAAGACAGCGGAGTTATTTTCAAAAAGTTATCTTACATTGTAGTTGACCAGAAAATTATGCAAACTTAACTACGAAGAACCATTACTTTTCCTAAGTCTTCGTGCAACTTGGTATTTTTACCGATACTTCGTTCGCCATTTGATTTTACACAGCAATTTGTTAATTTCACTAATTGAATTTACTCACTTAAGGTGTTTCTGCATTCATTTAGGAATATGTTATGTTGTGCATATTTTGACTGCTACGCATCTTGATTAGACTATTCAAGTTAATCCAGATAACAAAAAGAAACATTTTGGAATATGATAAACAATAATTACATGCTAATTCAAACTACATACTTAACTGACTAAATGTGCCTAAGAGTCTCATTAAGAACACTGTCACTCAATAAGATCGTGGTACATCTAGCTTGCGAAATATGAGCATACGCTACGGATTTTATTGCTAATTATCACGCCTAGTAGATTGACTGATCTGAAAATCCCTACATGGACAGTCTATTTTCAACGTTGATACTCATTTTAATGTTTCAACTAATTGTGTCATTACGACTGTTTTTCCCTTAATCTGTTTATCATTGTCTTAACGTTTATATTTTGACTTGATCATTATTATTTGTCTTTGTTTTCGTTTGATCCCTACTATTAAATCTTACTTTTCGCTGATGTATAATGATGTTGATGATGTTATTTCAGGACTGAGATTTTTCGTCACTCCATGAACTGACTTCCTGAATCTGGACTCCTGAAGAAGATGTTTTGATCCCACTTATTGGGGATATTCTCATTTATTCTCAGTATATATTTTTTACCTGCAAAACTTTGGCACTGTGTAGCTGTCGGACGGTATTGTTGAGTACCATAGATTCTATGGTTCAAATGATATTTTTGATATAAATGGGATAATTGTAGGACTTTTGTGACTCGTGACAGTTTGGTGAGTTAAAGAGAAGAAAGTATCAAGTAGTACTCACGTTCATATCAGTGTGCTTCCATTATGGTCGTTGTATCAGTTATCAAATAAAATCCATCTCCCCAGAACTTTTGTCTGTATTGAATCAACAATATGATAAATGGATTGAAATGGAAACTTAACATGTTCAAATTGCTAAGTGTGTAATAAAATACGTTTTTGCTATGATCATTTACAGTATGTAGTCAAATCGCTATTTACATGGTTTTCTTGAAGGAATAACCACGAATGCTTAATTGAGCTGCACATATACCACTGGAAAATGGATATTAGTGAGGCTAGTCATGGGCTATTATACTTCACTATAACTCCAGAAAGCTTATTCCTATTGAACACCAGCCATATCCTGCCATTTCGTATCACTCGTCAATAAACCACCCACTGATGCAAGACAAGTAAATGAAACGTTCTTATTTGAGAGGACCATTAAGAAACAACCTGATAGCATACATTAATTATGACCTTGTCCAAGAATTATCCACTAACGGACCCGCTGCAAAATGAGTAAGAAAATCAGACTGCAAAATAGAAAGGTAAATATAATCAGTAATAGAGAAACAGCTGTCCAGTACTCCCAGGTTTTCCAGTGGTTCTTTTACTGATGTCAGCTCATAGTGAAATCCTCTATACATTCAAACAAAATCCCTACAAAACCGTTACTTGAAAAAGACAAATAATAGTCGCTGAAAAGGATAATCAGTAAATCGAGAGGAATCAGGTTATAGGTTGAGATTTCCGTCTGCTTGCTTTTTCGCTGCTGCCAACACATGATTATTTATTTAAGTACACAAGACTAGTTCTGTTAAAAAGTACTTATTCACTTCACTTGTTTTCATTTGTACTATGAATTTTGAGAGTAAAAGAAAACATATCTAAAGCGAATTTGACTACACTTATTTCAAAGTATAATTTCTTAAAATGTTTGAAAAAAGGACAACAGACACCAGTATTTTAGATAGCTTCTTACTCGATAAGTATTTTAGTGCAATATATTATATTCACAGTTTAGGTTACTTATGCCTATTGTTCACAGAGAATGTAATAACTCTGTGAATGTTAAATAATGTGAAAAATTCTTGTTAACATTTTTGCTCTACTAAAATTTATCGATTGACTCATCGATTATTTTTAATCATCTGAGCAACAATAGAAAGTAAAACAAAAGCAGTTAGATGGTATTATTTTCTAAATAGTAGCAAAGTATAAAAACTTTGTGTATACAGTAAACTGTTTAATTTTAAATTATAGAACGACACCTCTGTAAATTTGTTGGCGTACAATGATTTGTGTTATCTTTGTCACTAATAACATAATATACATGAATCGATTTTGCAAGAATTGAACATTTTACTGGCTATATGTATTTTGAATTAATGAGTCTGCAGTTAAGGAGGTAAGTAAAGATGATTTAGGACTGCGTTCATTTCTTAACAATGGCCTTATCAAAACGCATACAGTCGAGTTGTTCAGTTACTTATTGATAGACAATAGGGTCTAGTGAAGACTTTGTACTATAGAGCGAGGAGAATATGCTCTGTAGAGAAACTAGAGGAGGAGTTTGAGTTCCTTGAAGAGATATTGAAGAGAAATGGGTATCATCAAAGGTTCATCAACAAGTATGGAAGATCTGAAGTCACAAATGTAAAACAAATCACAGTGGAAAAAAGCCAGTCTACGTTCAGCTTGATTATAAAGGTAAAAAGATTGCAGCGATGATCAACAGAAGGCTGAGTACATCACTAACCATAGCCTATCCTGCAGCCAAGCTCGTTACCGTCTATCGAACAGCTTACTCTTTGGTGCAATCAAAAATCAATAGATATCCTTCTCATGTTACCTCCAACTGTATATACAAATTTACATGTATCTGCAGGAGCATTTACATTGGAAGGACAGAAAGAAGGGCATATCTACGATTTTTTGAACAAGTACCAAAAAGCTTACGTCTAAAGGGAACAAATGCTTTAAATAGTGCCATCACCAGGCATCTTCTCGACACGGGTCATGAGGTGGACGTCGAAAAGTCGTTCAAAATTATTAATAGGCAAAAGAGCTCAATTCTCCTTAAGTTTGCTGAAGCCATTTCCATCAAGCGCCTGAAACCTGATTTATGCGTCCAGAAAGAAGAGGTTATCAGTCTTTCTTTGCCCTGGTAACTGGATAATTTCACCTCTCTTTCTTCTGAATGCGAAATGCTAAAAGTTTCCATTGTGTATGATTATTATTGTTCGGGATAGTGTTTAATATTGCATATATATATATATATATATATATATATATATATATATATATATATATATATATTTAGTGTGTGCGTATATCGATTGATTGATTTTTGTTTAGAATGAACTCTGTGCAAGTATGTTAGAATTGTTGTTGTAGATATATTTAATAATGTCTTTGTCATGTAAGCAGCTGACGAGAAGACAACGAAATAAAAGATGGTACCATTTTATTCTGCTAAAAGTGTAGTTCTTGCTTTGTTCAAATTCACTAAGGGGAATAAATGTATGAAATACGGTAGTCTCTGATAACTGTTATATTTTCCTCAAGAGAATGAATTAATTGTAGTGTTGATGCAGTTAAAGTGAGTCTCATCATTGGCATTATGCCTGAGGTTACACCCAAAAAACATATGTAATCAATTTGGGTCGTTTGTTAACATCCTTTTTCTTTGTTTGTAATGGTATCAGCTTTATTCGATATAATAACAAATATTACAGCATAAAAGCTGTCGATCAGATGAAATTCGTGTCTAACTTATGCTTCTCACTTCGTGGCATTTATGAACAAAGAATAACTTCATCACTGAGGAGAGTCAGCTGAAGTGAAATTACTGGCTTCACCAATGTGTTCTAATGATGAATATTGTAAAGTATACAACTATGCTGTCTGATCACAGTCAATAAATAGTTAAGGTGATAATGTGTAGGGGAACACTGCTGGGTGTTAAGGTGTACTATAATTGGATTTCAAATAAAAGGTCAAGTCAGCCAGCATCGAACCCTGTTAGACAGTCTTCACAAAAAAGCGGTGTTCTGTGATACTGGAGAGATTATTATTATTATTGTTCCCTTGGGTTCCTAGTGGAACATAGGGCTTCAACTGCACGTCTCCACTTGCTCCTGTCTTCTACTGTACTTTTCACCTGCATCCATGTTAGTCCATACTGTTTCAACTCCTCTTCAATTGATCTCCTCCATGTCACGCTTGGACGTCTTACTCGCCGCCTCCCTTTAGGGTCCCACTCGAGCAATGGCCTGACGCGCGATGTCACCCAGTGAGCTTCCTCAGCGAGTGTCTAATCCATCTCCTCTTTCTCTTGCATATTTGTTCGTTGGCGATTAGTTCTTGTTTAGTTTGTTCCCATAACTGGAGAGATTACTTATTCAAAATCATTGTGTACACTAACCGTTTTATGCTCGCCAGTGTCATTTTAAAACACCCAGTTTTACCAAAAGGAATAATTTATACCATAGTACAAACATTTAAAAGTATGCTAAATTATATGGGCTAGTGCTAAAACCGCATATCTGCAATCGGGTTACATGCGTTTTTTCTCCAGCAGAGTATATATGGGTCATGTTCTCTTCCACATTAATCAACAGAACACTAAAATGAAAATACAATAGTTAATTTATAAACACACGTTTAAGTGGCCCAAAGTAGAAATTTATCCTTCACATATCTAGTGGTCAATTTTTACAGCCGACAAACGAAAAGTAGTTAATTAATTTTATTTTCCAGTGAATGACTGAGTATGGCAGTAGAGAATTTTTCGTTGTACGTTTTAGCGAAATAGAAAATGTTTTAAAAGGTAGTTTTCAAGTGGCCCAAAGTTCAGAGCACATTAAAGCTGAAATCTCAGACTTTCTTAGGAAAGATGGATATTCAGTATTTTGATTGTCAGGTTTAATTAAAAGTGCAGGAATTAAGATTAGCATTCACTTTTATAGTACTGTCCATTTTGTTAAGTTTGATACTGATACTGCAATCTTTAATCTCAACTCTCCGGATTTACAAAATTTCTAGTATGCTAAAACAGCTATATTAGTTGTGCATTTTCGTCAATTCATATATATATAATTTTACATAAGTAATTTCTCATCATCGAAGAGGAATTTTGGGACAAAGCATACTCACTTTGATATTTAGACTCATTTTATCTTCTGATACAGTATAACTGCATATGCTGTAAGTATTACTAAAGCTTTTCGCTTTTTCTTTATTTGTTTTGCTCCCATATAGTGACCAGGATTTTATTGAATCTCATTGTAAGCGATGTGAAGAGCCATTTACGCATGATGAAAACATCGTTTCTGTGAGAGATGGAGTCTATCATCCAACGTGTTTTGTGTACGTTAACTGTATCAACGTTTTATCATGCTAAGCACAGATGTCTATATACTACAGTAATTATAGAGGCTGCGATGAAGACTTTCAGTCAGCCGTGATTCAGATCAATAATCTCTGCATTCTCATTTTATTTGTAAACACAATTCTTTTGACAGAATACGGGTCATTAGATGGTTGGAGGTAATCGGCCTCAGGAAGCCCTGCTTGATCTAGGTTTCGTGCTAGTTGGCACTCAACAGCAAGGCGTATCTGCAACCCTTAAGGGACTCATGTTCCTTCTGAGATTCGAAGATCACATGCTTAGTTTGCTTTCAACTTTTAAGCATTTCCTATAGCTTCCAGGACTCCATATGTTCTTAGGCAATGAAGATTGTTACCTTTAACATATTTTTGCATCGTATTTGTAAATCTACTTTGAATCAACTATATGTTTTATTCAAAATTCCTCACTTAGGACAAAAGATAGTGAAGAGACTACGTCTCTCATTATCTAAAAAGTATGTCTGTGAATGAAACTTTAGAAAACACGATTACCTGTCATTTATTTTGCTTCATTTGGCATTCACAGTATGCCTTAACAAAATTACACTCCACCAAAGACAAATAATAAGAGTCTGATGCTTTAGGATCGGTTAACGATTTCTTCCGTGTTCAGTTTGAGAATTTCAAAATGTACTTATTCGGAATACATTATGAATCCGGTACTTTAGACTGACAGATGACAATATTCGAACTAAGGTCATCACCAGATTATAAAGAGAACCATCTTTAATCCTGCCAGGCAACACATACTGAAAAAGAACAAAATCATTTCAGTCATTCACCCATGAACAGGATGCAGAATATTGGGTTACACTGATTCTAGTTTAAGTGATAATAAACGTTTTTATTTATCATAGCTCAAAAGAGGCGAAAAATTAAATACTGTTGAAATAATTAGTTGATTAAATTTGCTGAAAAAGTTTTAAACATACCCTCTTGATGAAATAAAGCGCTTGATCGATTTTGTCTGTAATCTCCTCGAATAAAACCTAGCAGTAAATTAGTCTTTAAAATGTATGGAGGTTATGTAAGTAACCAGACTGTCTATTATCTCACTACTGTAAAACAGTAATGAATATAGGGGAGACATAACCCTAACGACTATCTGAATACTATTACACTGGTATCGCCAACGGAAGGAAGTCAGAATTTATGAGTGGAGGTAACAGTAACGTGACCTTCTAGTAAGATGAAGATCGTGAGTTTTGATGCCTGAATTACGTGGTGGATGCTTGTTACTGAAGAGTCCAAAACTATGACTAGATAGTTTTTCTACAGTCCTTTACTTTTCAATGATTTCCTAAGCAATACCCATTCTCTACGGAATCTACCGTGTAATAACCAAATAATAGCAGACAATGAATCGTTAACCTATAAATATCTGAAAATCCGCAAAGTCCATATTCATAAATAAGGAATGTGTCAAATATTAAAACATCGGAAAATTATTTTTCAATTTTATTTTCACGTTACTTAAGCCCCCTAGCTAGACAAATACTTGAGAGTAACATCTGATTTCTCTGTCTATCCCTTTGTTGCGACCTGATTTCTGAAAAATTACCCTGTGGTGATTTCGCGGGAATGACGACCTGGTTATTAGCAGAGTCTCGTACATCAGCTGGTACAGTGCAGTACAGTGAAAATCCTGATGCTGTCTAGATTTTAATTACACTGAATAAATTAAACAAGCAATTGAATATTTTGAGTCATACATAATGATATTCAACATCTGACAAAAGTCAGTTTACCACATTAGGCTAAAAGTTTGTTATTAACTCAATCAAATCTATAATTATTGCTCATTCCGTGCTTTTTGTTTGTTTTTTCGATGTACTGTCAAAGATGTGCACAGTGTTTCCAGCCTTTGTCAAACAAAGAGTTTTATGAGGTAAGTTGTCGTTTAAATGATTAGATTAGCTTTATCAGTAAATATATTGTACAATGAATTCAGTGAAACGATCAAGAACATACTCAATGTTTACTAAAGTGTTTCCACATAACTGTTCAACCGAATCACATTTCTAATGATATTTTGACTTACTCCTCAATGATCAAATAATTAAGATTTCCATTAAAATCATTTTGCACCTTCAGAGAAAGTCGAATTCAGCAATAAAATTGTATTCATTTCCACAGAATCGTGGATTAGGTTGCATAACCACACTATGTTTGAAAATATTAGTCAATAAAACGAACTGAAAACAATTTGTTTAAAGATCTACCCTCCGTTTGTTGTCTTGTAACTTGAGATAAAAGTGTCTCAAGCACTACATCCATTATAATTACATAAAGATATAGTCTTGGTAGGGTGATGGCGCATGATACCATACAGTTTTGATTTCTAAGACATATAACACTGTGAAACAGTACTACTGACTTGATAAGTGCTTTAATGCAATTGATTATTTATAGCTAAATAATGAGTGAGTTAGCAGCTATTAACCGCCTTGAACATTCCGAAAAGATAAATTTCCGTTCTGAGTGAATAATCTTGTTTGAGCTTGTAGTAGATCTAGTAAAGGAACTAATATAGAAGTAATTGTCATACTGGCAGTGAAATATCAGTATTTAATCAGCGTATACTTGACATATTTAGATAAATCCTGTTTATCCCGGTGAAGTCTTTATTGAAACCCTGCAATGAATTAAGCTCACTTAATCAGACTGATCAAATTATGGCGTTTGCATGCAACTAGTAATGTGGTCAAAGTTAATCATAACTAATTAACCGTTATTACCGTTTCTTTTAAATATGACTTAGAATATCTTCAAATTTAATTACCCTCATAGGGATAACTATTAGAGAACAGAGGGGAATGCGACCACAATATCTGACTACCAACCGGTTAGTAAGTATGTGATTCGGACACTCTCAGTTTATCACATTTCCACTACTGACACACATTTCTGAATGCTGGATATGCTGTTAAAGTGATATTATGTGTATATACCTTCTTACTATCGGAGTTTCGTTAATAAGAAGTTTTGACCAATTTGAATTTCCCAAAACCAGATTGTGGAGCAACCTAACGACATCAAGATAAACTCAAGAATGTTTGAGCTTGTCTACCAAGAGGAGACAGAAAGATGAAAATTGTATATTTTTGATGAATGTGAAAAGTGAAATTTGAATTATACTGAAATTTCATAAATTAAATGTGCATTATCAAATTGGTGGATGGTGACTAGCAGTGGAATCCAGGATGCGTATTTCATCCTATTTGGGACTCGTCAGCTGGATGTACCTGCATTTCTCAGTGAGTGATGATGTTCCCACCGAGGCTCGAACCCAGTACCCATAGTTTCAAGCGCCAAAGCGTTATGCACTAGACCACTTGGGCCACGAGAGCCACCTCTTATGCAACGGGTCGTATTAATTTCATTGCATTTTTGATTTTCCCGTCGATTGATTGGACCGAAGTGCTCGGTCTCAGGTTGACATGTCGGCTTCGGTGGGAACATCATCACTCGCTGAGAAATGCAGTTACATTCAGATGACGAGTCCCAAATAGGACGAAATGCGCATCCTGGATTCCACTGCTAGTCACCATCCACCAATTAAATACTAACTAAATGCCCAGACATCGTCGAAGCATCTGTACAAGAAGCCGACATATCAACCTGAGACCGAGCACTTCGGTCCAATCAATAGACGGGAAAATCTCGAATGCATTATCAAAGTTTGCTATATATACGAAATTGTGGCTGAGTTGCAGCCTGTTTCAATGGAAAGACATGTAAAGGCTTTATGACAATGCAATAATCATGTAATTATTACTTTCTTAGGTAAATGAAACTATCTAGGAATAGTAATATAATGTCACCGTCAGTGTCACATGTGTCTGAAATCCCACACATACCTTAATTCGAATGTAATTCCATCAAATGTGTAGTCGCTAGCTATATTATTACTGTCTAAATTTCTGGATATCCTACAGAATGTAGATTTCGAAACAGGTAATACACCCACAGTGTAAACACACATGTGGTAGGCATAATGCTAATAGTCAGTGCTTAATGAGAATTCTATCCTGTTGTTTTCATAATTACTGAGAATCACATGAGAAAACTTGCAACTATGGCAATAAGCATGTTCTTTCTTGATTAATCACATCATTTATAAGAAATTTATTGTATGAATCAACGGATCTACTGTTACTGTTTTCTATATATTGTATAAAGCTGAAGAAATGCGACACATAGCCCAACCATTTAAATTCCAATGAAATAAATATGAAACATAAACAAGCGATTCTTCTAACTTATTTAGCTACTTTTATTCTAACCATAAAATGCACGAACTGTACGACATGCTTAATCTCTAAACCTGTTCAGAATTTCTTCTATGAAAATAGTTTCCTGGAAAATTTCATTCCCTGTAATTAGTTTGATCGGTTTGCTTTTTATGTGTCATTTTAACGTTCGCCTTAGGTCACGTCTCAAGCTCTCCACTAAACTAAGACTGTTGATGTATAGATCAAACAAGATTCTTCTAGGTAAGAAAAAAGGCAACGTGCTGCACTCAGTTTCATAATCAAAGAAATATGAAGTGTAGAGAGAATACAACGTTTCTTATGCAGTTTTAATCCGTTCACACAACTAATATTTTTTCCTTTTCTTTTCAGTTCGAGGGTCGTAGGTACTGCAAATATGATTTTCAAGTATTATTTGCACCTTTCTGTTTTAAATGTGGTAAGTACAATTGCGGGTGACCAGAAAACACATATTTATGAAATATTTTTCAAAAATGTTGTACTTTGGTGTCTTAACTGTAAATCAGATTTTTAATCCAGTGGCAGAATAGTTAGTGACTTTGCTCTATAACCTGAAGGTGTTAGGTTTGATCTCTGAAGAGTCAATGAATATGCATTCCAGAAGAGTCCAAACTCGGAAAAGACAGCGGTTCTATTTACTTTGGTTTTCAATAATTCCCTATTGGATATCACCTCCTGACTACATCTGAATTAAAATTAATCAAAATCTTTACAAACTCAGAATCTGAATTGTTACGCTGACATGATTTACAGTTAACGTCATGAAAGGTATCTGAAACTATGGTTCATTGGCGATTTTGTGGAAAATATTAAGGGTTTATGTACTTAGTCAAGTTACAACCCCCTCGTTCTCGTGCATTCATTTTCTTTAACTGTACATTCTCATTTATATATAATTTTTCCATGGAGGGGCATAATAAAAAAAAGTAGTGAGTTGTCACAAGCATAGTTGTTAGTTTTAGTTGGTGAATGAAACATGTTGAATAAGTGCATCGGAGTTCCGTAATAAGAGGAATAATCTATGAGGAGCTAGAAAAACAAACAAACTAAATTTAAGTCAGTAGAAATCGACAAGTTTCTTACTGTGATGGTAGGAGTGGTTGAATAATTTTCTCTTATATGCATGGCTCCGGCTTCTCTAGGTGAATGACTAAGGCTTCAGCAATGAAATGTAGGCAAAAGTTGGTAGGTTGTGCTTCACTTTGTAGATTACATTGAAGGAGGCGTTTGCTGAGATGGAGTGACAAGTATTGACAGGGTATTTGATTGTCACACTCCTTATACAGCCACTCCTACTGTAACAACAGAGGACAAGGGCCAGGCAACAGATCGTTTATTAAGGAAATCAACACATATTTATAGACTTTCATGTACATTACTACAGCTTATTGTTAGCAGAAAAACGCAGTCTTCTGATTGTTTGTTTCTCACAGAAAGTTAACCTTGCATCTCTTGTGACTGTTTCTTGAATGTCAGATCATCTATATGGTGACTGTATCCGCCTACGCAAAGTGTGCTGTGGTTGGTTGCTGAATCATTCTTTGTTCATATTTTCTCACGACCAATATTTGGGACATAAACATTGACGTAAATTAATGTCTACCAATTTGGCTAGTAGCCAGCTCTCACCACACTACCTTTCTGCAACCACGCGAGATGGTGTTTTTGAACTCTTTTAGACGGGATATGCGTGAGTCGACTAATGTGCTTGGTTCCACAGCAACAGGCGAACTGATATATGTAAACAGATGTGGTCAGGTGGGAGGCTTCTGAAAACCAATGCATAGCTGGAGAACTTCACTCTTAAAGTTGCTGCGAAGAATATTCTTCTTAAAGATGATGAAATTCTCTTCTTAAGGATATCGTGGGCTAAGTCTTCCTTAACGTCTTGGCTCATATCAAGTTGCTTTTTTGGAACAAGTAATGTTTTGTTCCTCTGCACTTCTGGTTTGATATTATTGCCAACAAACCTTGGTGGATAATCAGTTTGCATGGAAGTTTCTTTTTCTCTTTTTTTTTTGAATTCATCGTAAAGAGAGTGAAGAGTACCATAAAATCCTAATTTCGAAGTTGTCTAGCTATGAATGATATGATTTTGAACAATAAATTGTATTCAGAATGTCATCCAGTAAATAACACTCCTTAACAAATTAATATGGAATCCCATTCTACTTCAGTGTCCATGTTTCGCATACATGTCAGTTTCACAAAATATTTGATAAATTTACTAATTATAACATAAGATCAGGCAAAGATTTTCTTTTAAACGATAGCTGAGCGGGATAAAACAGATTCGTTTTTTAAAATAAAAGAATGACTTAGTTTTATCATTGCTCCAACTTCTGGTGTAGCTCTTTTCCAACTCATCACCTACCGAAAACAGCTGTTTGAAGTTCAAAATTCATCTACAGTTATGTTTATCACAGCTATCGGTGTAGCGATTAGCAAAATTAGGCTGAAGTTATAAGGAATATTCATTTTCAGGAACCGTGTAATCTCATCAGCTCTATCTCTTCCATTACTGCATAAACTAATACATAAAGCTTACAGCTTTGAACTATCATCATCCTTTAAACACTGTTTGTCTTAATACTAATAAAATGTTTAGCTGTTTTGTTGACAACTAATTGACTGCTATGTATTCTGTAGTGTCTACCTGTTTATAATTATCTCCGCATACTTTATCATCACTTAGCAAAAATGAGCTAAGTCCTTCATATTCACTGATTATTCAAAATAAAAACAAAAAACGATGAGTATCAGTCTACCTCACCACTAGCAGGAACATTGTATGTTATTGTCGAGCAAAGGATTAATAGCACACAGAATGCCTGGTATGAATTGTATCACACAAACAGAGTGACAAACGTACGCTTCAGTTCTTGGTGTATAAAACCCGACGGATCTAACAAAGGAGACTATTTGAATAAGGCATTAAGAAGACAAATTTCGCGAGACGATATCATTTCGTAGTTGTTTTACAACCGCTTTACAACTAACATGGTTAACAATGATAAAATAAAGGAGACTATTGTTTAGTGAAATCTCTTTTCTGAGACTACTGGATTCATGGATAATCCCCATCCAGGCATATATGAAAACAAAACGCGTAGACCAGCGAAGAGTCTCTTTTCGGCGAATTCATTTTATTAGCTGTACAATCGCAAATATATATATGTGTTATTTTGTATGTATGTGTACATTAAGTTTGCCAAACAAAATTACAATTGGTTATAGTTATTTTGACTAAACAGGTGAAGACTGTTAATGGTCTTCTTATCCGTGAAGCAATATTTAAATGAACAATGGCTATCCAACCTTAAACTCATTCTGAAATCATGGATAAGTAGTGTTTTTGACTTTAAATCATTCTGATAATGTAATCTGCGCCATCTGTGAAAGACATAGGTCGCAAAACGTGACAAAGTTTAATGAGTTAAAGTTAATCTCGCCCGACATTATATATTTGAGCTATACCTTCTAACTGTTAACCCAACGACAAGTGTTAGATTTAAGTCCAGATAAGTGAACTAAGTGGTTTTTAAAGTTTATACCATATTCCTCTGTATTATGATTGATATAAATTACCTATTAGTAGGCATTTCTCAGTTGTCGAACAGATCTAGTAGACTACTTTCCTAACCATTCTAGTTTAATCTCATCTCTTTCTAACGTAAGATACTGACCACTGTATCCAGTTGTAAGTGAACGGCTTTTAAGCTGTTAAAAAGCCTATACAAATACCGGCAATCCAATCGTCAGGAAGTATATCGAAGTTTGCAAAGACAACAGTGTAATATAATCAATCTTTACCTAAACCAGAGTATGATTAAGATCATGAGAAAATACAGTACTTGAATTCATTTTTGAATTGTAGTTACTCAATTTCTGTTATCAATTTTATGCGTTTTTTTAAAATGAGTTAAGCATTATTTTAACCAGTATGCAATTACCAAAGTTAATTGCAAGCTAATTATCATTTAGGAAAAGGTGTAAATTCTGCTGCATGGAAGACCAGTATTCATTTATCGTCAGAAAAAACCCCCTTGCCTGTTCATTAAAGTGATATTTCAAGGTCTATTAAAAACTTAAAGGATACTCTGAAGTGAATTCACAAGAACTTGGCCATGTTATCTCTTTTCCTAAAATAGATTGTGGTGTACCTGAATTGTAAATACGAAGTTGAATAAAATATAACTAGGACTGATCAGAAAGTGATTAAAACTAATTTCAGTTATATTAAATTCGTTGACTTGACAATAATAGAAGGTAAAAATGAAAACTTTGGGGAGAAATGAAGGCGAAATCACGAATCTTGTCTTGTCGGTTGATGACACAAGCCCACCTACCTATTGTAATAGACATTTGTAAGCTACGAATATCTGTAATGTAGAGAGACAGATTTGACTAACCTTAAATGCCATGTTATGAGCCATGATTTACAAGTGAATCACTTATTACGGAAGGTGTAAATGAAGGAGTTGCCAGCTTGTACGTATTTCGATTATTTTGTTGTCGGTCATTCCTTAGAAATATAAGGGTATGTGGCATGAACCACGAAACCCGGACATTGAAAACAGATTTGGCGAGTCTTCAAACAATATTCTCGAAGGCTTAGTATGGAAATAAATATTAAGAAAGAGAGACGAAAGAACACATTGTATATGACTGTCAGTTTAGGTAATGATAAAAGTGTCCACGGAACTGATATTGATTCACTGTCATTATTTATCAGCCCACTGTAGCTTATTTCTCATCTCACACGAATTTGGCTGGTCTTTTCAGTTTTTGTTTTAACTGTTTGTAATTACACTGTTTACTCTGTATTTTGCCCAGTGATACCCTTTTCAACCTCAGAAGCTTAAGGGTAGACTATGGATGACTTAATCTTCGCCATAGCGTTTTGAATCTAATACTGAAAGGCTATGTCAGATACTAGGCACGATTTTTTTCAAGTTTACGTATCCAGACACTGGTTCATACATATTAGGTAAAAAAAATATTCAAATAATTCTGCCTCCATGGCTTAAAGCCAACGTTCACTTTGTGCTTCTTAGCATGCACAACGTGGTCTTTGAAAGAGTCATTCAGATTCCAAGGCGGATTTATTCTTGAAGTGATTTCAGTTGAAGAATTATTGAAATCCAAGAAGGACTCGGAAGTCGTTTTTCTCCCTTTTCAAACTTTTCATTAGTAAGCACCAACTGACTCACTACAGTTTGAAACCAGAACAAGCACCTTATCAATCAGCCAATGGAATGGAACTCAACTGTTCATGAATTTCAACTCCCAATCAATGTCACAGATGAGTATTTGTCCTTAAAACCGACCGCACTACCTATGACTTACAACTTGGACACTGGAATTCATTCCATTATCAGTCACCAATGATCAGTGGATGAATTTTCAAGTGTTCGTCTTGGGGAATTTAACTGATTTCATAGAAGATTTCATTAAAAACTGAAATCAGTCAAACGCACTCAAATCAGTGAAACTCCTGAAAACATTTTACAGATTCTGAAATAACAGAGAAGATTTGTAGCTCAGGTGGATGATTTGCAATTAAGTGTTCTCTGAGCTGATTAGTTTAGTTGCGGAGCTTTCGTCACCCTTCTGGACAACATCTTCAGCGTAATATCTAGCATAAAGTGAAATGATTTAAATTTCTTCATGAGTGACGCAATTGCGTCTCCCGGTAACCACCTTTAGATATGTACTGACCGTTTTATATTGATTGGGATTTTAAACTTTCTGATCATCTGATTTACTTTCTATTAGTTGGTATATTTGGTCCATGTTAACGTGTTTGTTAATTGCATTTTCGTTTGAGTAACAGGCTTCTAGGAATTCTATGGCACTTTTGGTGTTTCCTCTGTCTAAGATTTCGACATTATTACAATCAAATTGTTGTTGTTTATTAATTTATGGGAATATTCTAAACCATTTCTCCCAATTATTACAAATGTATCATCAACGTAATGTACCCAGATTTTCGGTTTAATTATAGGTAGAGCTATTAATTCTAATCTTTGCATGACTGCTTCAGCTATTAATCCTGATATGTCCGATCCCATTGGTGTCCCTTTTATCTGTTCATTTATTAACAGATTCATTCATTGAGTGCAGTGATCATTATATTCAAGTTGTTAAACCTTATTTGTCTATGATAAAAGATTTCCCTTTACCTCATTTTCATTGATTTTGAAAAGACCTTCAATACTGTTGAACGTGAAGTAATTTAGAAACTACTGCAACACTATGGTGTGCCCCAAATGTTCATAAAACTCACTCAACAGATATTTGACAGTGTCATACGTCAGGTGATTCATAATAGAAAACTCAGCAAAGATACTGGAGTGGAGACAGGAGTAAGATAAGACTGTCAAATATCACCAGTGATATCCCTAATTGTAGGGGAATGGATTACGTGGCACACCTTTCTTGAGAGGGCGAGAATACAGGAATATGTTTGACCGAAAAAGATACTCTAGAAGATCTAGATTGAAAATCTTCTGCACTCAGTATAAAGAACAGGATTCCGATTTTCACCACACATGTTAAGTCAGTCAGTTCTTCTATATGGGTCTTGAACTTGGCGGGCTTGTCACCAGAAGCATTTCCGAACGGCCAGTATAGATTTTATCAGAAGCTGCCTTCACTGGATCCATATTCAAGATTGAACAGCCAGAAAGAATCAACAAAAAGAAACTCGAGCAAGGAACCAATCAATAACCTGTCGCCTAACAAATATACATAAGAAAATAGAGATGGATTGGGCGTACTCCGAGGAGACCGTTGGTTGACACTGCTCGCCAAACCCTTGACTGGAATCCGATTGAGAAACGAGGTGTTGAGAGTCTGAGTGTGATATGGAAGCAATCCTGCAAGGAGGAGATGAGAGACTATGGATAAACGTGTGATCAGCTAAAGAGGAATGTAGAGAGTAGGACAAAGTGGAGATATGCTGTTGAGTTTTCGTGTCTCCCTAGAACCCAAAGGAACAATAAATAATATAATAATGAGAATATTTCCCCACGATAATTCATCACATCACCATAGACTTTATTCAATATATCTCTCTACTAAGACATATACCAAGGCTTTTTCTTCTTGTTTAATGAAGAGCAGTTTAAATACTGAACAAAAAGTAAAATATTCATGAAGACCAGCTAAGTAAACGACCGGTTATGTTTAGATTCAGTAAACATATTCACTTTATAATTTATTCTTTTCAGCATACATTTATCATTTATTAAGCAATAAACAAAACTGAGACAAATTTCTTTCCCTTTTCTTAAACAATCAGCCTTATTATAAAGGAGATACATTTTTAAAAGAATCAGGTGATAAAAATATTTCATGCCTACCTTATCTACCCACTCACCTACTTCCTGATTTACCTTTCCAGGTGAATTTATAATGTCAAAAGTTGTGAAAGCGATGAGTCGAAGTTGGCATCCAGAATGTTTAATCTGTGATGAATGTGGAGTTCAGCTTGTTAGCAAAGGCTTTCAGCGACATAAAAGTAGGTGAGTTATACGTTACCTGTAAATAAAAGTATTTTAATTCATTTGCACAGAATTAAAAACACATAGTTAGTTGGTGTTTTTGATAAAATGACTGTGACAGTTTAAGACATGTTGGTAATCACTTCACACATATGGTTAGTAATGAACCAGAACTTAGACTCGTATTTACTTACACGATCTGTAGATTTCAGTCAGGCTTTAAAAATAGACATTGTGACACTGATTATTACCAGTGATGCATGAGTGCACTAAACCTATCTACATATCTTTTTACGATAGACTGAATATTTTATGTTACGACTCATACCTGATATCTATGGTCGGCCTGCAAAATTTGGGCTACCGATATCCATGCTGAAAATTCCATACTTGTACCAAAAATACAGTGTAGAATCAAGCTGTAAATCCAAAAAAATAATAAAATAAAAAATAAAAAAATGATAGTAAAACCTTGCATGAAGCTACTCTGAACTTTGTCTGACATCCTTTCAAAGTCTCATCATTGCGATTTGTAATATAAGCGTGATAAGTAGTTCACAGTCCAATTTATTCTTCAAAGAGTGTTTGTCTGCAACAGATGCTAATTCTGAAATCAGTAAAATACAGTTCGCAAGATAACAACTCATCGCTTAGCTTTCGTCACGTTTAAAACTGATTACAAAAAGAGGTTTCCTTTAACCAATTTAGAATCAGGCTATCAGAAAAACATTTACGACCAATGCGCACATAGAATTATAGTTACGTCCTCTACAACTTGACGCAAGTGTTCAATAGACTAGTGACATAGATTTGGTGTATACTGATTACCAGCCAATTTATTTGAAGACTACTGAAGAATTTAAGGCGGTTTTATAAAAACAAGAAGTCAATGACTGTAGGACAATGATCAAAACCATTAAAGTTTAATACCAGCTTCCTGAATTGTTGGAACCTAGAGGCTACTTCAGTTAATGGACTTTGTTTTCAACCCAGCTGATTCCAGTTACTGTGTGAAACTGAATACGATCTTAGCAGCCTTAAACATACATGTCAAAATATCCAAAAACATTCACAAATAACTGTTAATTATCTTCAGAAAGCAAAACGTCATTACTATATAAGTAAAATAAAAAAGACTGAGTTATTAGGGTAAATGTATGCATGAAAATCAGGCCGTTGGTATACCAGCCTTAGAATGCTCACATGTGGTCTGAGGTTCGATCACCGGCCGATGCATACCGATAGCATGCCCAGCAATGAAGGAGGTTTGGGCGGGAGGCTAGCAATCGCACTCTATAAGAACAGCACCACTACTACTGAAAATTTAAAGCTCGTGTTTGAAACCCTACTTTTCACTCGTAATGCAAAGGAAAAAAATAAAAAATAATACACGAAAATAGAATTAAGTGGAAAAGTAAAATTAATCAAAACATTAAATTTGTAATATGTATCACACTAGGATTGTGAGTTAAAGAAATCCTTCTGGGTAGAAAAAACAAATAGAAATCATACAATAAATTTCAAGAGGTGAAAAGTGAAATTGTAAAAGACGACCATTAATACAAAATACAGGTTTGCGTGGTTTGGTATCAAATTACTTGTCAAACTAAAGTAAATTTGAGTACATTTACTTAATGATTATGTTAACTGGCTTCTGGGCATCACTTCCTTGTTCACTGTAGACGAATTCGATGAATGGCTAATACACTTTTAAAGACCCTCGAATTCTTGATTAACAAATTAATCAGATAGAAGGCATATTTTCAGTTAATACAAACGACGAATATGTCAATGTAAATATCCTTAAGTTATGCTGTATTAATAATGTATGCAACACTCATCCGTCCTATGCTTTCACGGAAAAGAACTGTGATTTTTAACTAGATTCCATTATGTTATATGTGCCCAAACCAGGCTCACTCTTAAGAGTTTGAAAAAAATTGGGCATTGGGTATTGGATATTCATTATAATGAAGGTTTTTTTGTATTTCCCAATGAATGAAAAACAAAAGGATATTGTTTTTACTGACATTTCGCTATTTAATGCTAATAGCATTATCAAAGTATTATTAAACCGGAATTTACAAAATCTCAGCATATATATAACAAAGAGTTAGGGGTGAGAAAATAGACTTAGGTCAAGTTAAAGGGACATATTAAAAGTCAAAATAGCAATGAAGATCACTAAACTAAATAACAAAGGTAATAGTACGTCTGTTATGATATCAAAACAAAGTTTACTAACTTGATCATCGTTCGTCAGTCTGGAGTAAAATTTTTATTTTGATTAAATCACAAAGTGTTATACAGTAATATTTACTAATGACCACGTTTCGAGCACAAATTATTGCTCATAATCACACCAAGGCAATAATGAGCAATAATTTTTGCTCGAAACGTAGTCATCAGTAAATATTACTGTATAACACTTTGTGATTTAATCAAAATAAAATTTTATCCATAATGGAGTTATACTCTGCCACAGTGCCCAAGTTTTATCCTGATATGCGTTGTAACCAGAATAACTGTATGATAAGTGACACTACTAAATTTTAATTGTACACTTCCGGTGCAATTACGTGAAAAGCACCGAATTCATTTTATGAAGAAAAACTCATGCGACTAAATATGCAGAACCTTGACAGATATGTACTTTATGAAGAAAAAGGATCAATATATCTATGGACATCACAAATGCTCAAGGAGAAATAAGAATTCTAATTCTAGCATAAACGTAGAATTTTCCTTTAACATTTGTATTGAAAGGTATGAAAATGCTGTTTTCATTAGTCAGGATCGCTAACGAGTTGGTGTAGGAACGTCAAGTTTGGATGCTTTTGAAGTACCATACGGCTATTGGAACTATTGTTGCCGACAAACTCACTTTCATACCTTAATTTTCTATTAATTTATTAATTAGATGCTCACTGGTGACTGACCTTATTCAGGTAGGTAGTTACTTGGGGTTCCAGTGGGAAGTCGTGACCAGTAGGGTGCAGCAGGTCGGGTCTGAGGACAAATACTCGCCGAAGACATTAGCTAGCGGTTGAGCTATATCGTGAATTGGCAGAAGTTAGAATTCATGGGCCATTGGATCCCAGTGGCTTGATGGTATACGAGCTCGCCTTGTAACAAGAAGGTCCCGGGTTCGAACCCTGGGTGGTGCATACTGCTGGAGAGTCCAAAGTTAGGACGAAACAGCTGTCCAGTACTCCCAGGTTTTCCAATGGTTCCCTAACTAATGTCAGCTCATGATGAAATCCTGTAACTAATTTATTTTTATTTCATCGTATGCTTTAGAAATATCAGCCACGTAACGTAAGCAGCAGCTTAGAAATGACCTGAAGCTAGAAGTGTAATTAGCTAGAGGATTGCGACTGTTACATTATTTCTTCCATTTCATAGATGCACAAATAACATAGTTTAAGTTCCACTTAATCTTGTTTATTTTTCATTGAATATTGATCCCAACTCTGACACAGTTAACACATTTGTCTTACCCTTTGCGATCTGCTGTCGACAGGATTTTATGTAAAGACTGCTGGCCTGTTGTGTGTCAAGAGTTGGTGGGATGTCATATCTGCCAAACTTGTAACAAACCAATTGAAGTTGACAGACATATCAAGTACATGGGTGATTTCCATCATCCACATCACTTCCACTGTTTCGACTGCAAAGAAGAACTCGGTCCAGATGCACATGAACGTGGAGGTGAACTGTATTGCTTAAGATGTTTCGGTCGATCTGGTATACCAATATGCTGCGCATGCAGGTTAGTAGATGCTACATCAGTGACTTTAAAAACGTCTACTAATTAAACATTTTCAAAGCCCTTAAAATTCTTTTTATGAATTGGCGTCTTCATCAGTAAATATTTCAGTCTTATTTGCATTCTATTCACCATAGGGAACAGGTATGTAAGGTGCATTCTAAATTTTCCACATTTGAATTAAATTCAAACTTTTTGTATAGTAGGCCATATAAGGATGTCATTATCAAACTCAAATGATTCGATATGGTTAGCTAACAAATTCAACACAAAATAACTATTTTCACATATACAAGTCGGCTGCTCCACGGGACAAGAAATGATAGAGTCCATTAACAATAAAATCAACGTTAGAAATACATTTCAACAATATGAAAACTGCAGCTGATAAATTGTTACATTTTCTCAGTTGAACATGACTTGCAAACTGCTGCATGAATTTCCCGTATATGGTTTCAACTTGATTTCCAGTTTAATGGCATTTCATCTATGAACACATGCTTATATCTTGCTTCCTGGTATAAGCACCCACATGCAGCCAGAGAAAGCGATTCAGCAAACTTTTGTGACTTTTATTCAGCACCTGTATACAATTTACAATAAAAAATAAGCTCCGAGAAAATTTTGAATTCTTAACAAGAAAAAGTGCAGCTAAGTATCATCTCTAAGTTCATAAATAAATACTGATCTTGCTCAGAATCTGTATTCTATAGACTACCTTATAAACCTGACTGGTGTTCATTCAGGAATTTAAGATTTTACGTAAGTTATGCTGTTCAACCAGGTTTTCCTGTTTATCGTTTCTATTCACTAGAAACAAAGAATGCTTTGGGACAGGATAAGTGACTAACCACCAAATTTCTTATTGAAGTGAACCAATCTCAACTGGAACTGAAATTCTACCAAATTTCAAAGGCGTTTTTTATTACATGATTAACAGATCAGTATTATAATGGTTTTCACTCGCTCTACAAGTCGGCTTTGCAGGCAACAATCAGGTTTCCGAATGATAAATTATTTTCATTCCGTCATAGATTATCTGTGGAGCTGTGGTACATTGGTAATAACATAGAAATACATATGGTCGTTAAGAAACACATGCTCATAGTTTCTTTAGTCACCTGTATATCTCTCTTTTAAGATTTTCACCTTTCATAGCCTCTTATTCTTCTGAAATTAAGTTAAATGAAGTTATTGAACAGCATTTTCCTGAGAAAAGCTATGGAGGTGTGGTTATGTGGTTGGAATATTCCTACAGAAAATCAGAATCTATAGACTTTTGGTCCTAGTGAAATATTTAAGATGGAAACTTCTTGAAAATAAACCCGAAGTTTCGCTAAGTGGTCTTGAATTTATAATTAGGGAAAATTGACGTTAATTTAGCTTTGCTTGCTATGAGTTTATTGCGACGGAAGAATTCTTTAGGAAGTCCCCACTGAGGGGGCTAATCAAAATACTCAAACTTATTTGAATTTGTCGACTAATTTTGTAATTATTATCCGTTTTTATCCTAGACTGTATATCACTGTTCTAACATCCGCATATCATATATTGACTTGATCCTTGTCATTTATCTCTAACCCTATTGAATCCTTGATTTTAATGCTTCTGTTTGTGGTTGTGTGATACATTGGTAATGTGTTGTTTAACGGCGTGATTTTGTCTGGATCAATGAAAGTAGTTCTGACTTTGGACTGTGTGTGGAAATCGTTGGTGTATAGTCCTGGTGGACAGATTTATGATCCCACCTTTTAGGGGAATATTCTACTTGGTTCTACGGTACTTCTTACAGTTAAATTTTAGTTAACCAGTTTTGTTCTGCAGTACTCATTTTATACTTAGAACCTTACCTTGTCTGTATCGCTGCATAACTGGACTTTTCAGGTAATTTTGAGTTTTCCAACAGCAAGTGATCATCTTTTTTCTGTCTTTGCAGTGTTTTGTGACTGTAATTATCAGATATATAGTAGGATGGAGAGATCGGTTCCTTGCGTTCAGACTACAACGATTAAGTTTTGGTCCTAACAGTTGTTGTGAATTCATACTTCACTTCTGCATTCTACACTAAATTTCAACTATGTCTTCACCCTGTTTAACGCGCCAAATACTGCATTTACTAATAAATAGTGACGTTACAGGAAAAGACACCACATTAAAAACTCAATGATCTACGAGCTCGCCTTGTAACGAGAAGGTCCTGGGTTCGAACCTCGGTTGGTGCGTACTGATGAAGAGTCCCAAATTAGGACGAAACAGCTGTCCAGTACTCCCAGGTTTTCCAATGGTTCTCTAACTAATATCAGCTCGTGATGAAATCCTCCATACAATCAGACAAAATCCTTACAAAACCAGTACTTGAAAATTAATCTGATGCCCACTAGCAACTGGCCCTATTCAGGCAGTTAACCTGGAGTTCTAGTGGGAAGTCGTGACCAGTAGGGTACAGCAGGTCGAAGATGAGTCAGTAACTCATCGATGAAGACATTGCGAAATGGTCGCGCTATGTCGTGAATCGGCAGAAGTTAGAATTCAAGGACCATTGGACCGGGTCCCAGTGGATGAATGGTCTACGACTTCGCCTTGTAACCCCGGTGGGTGCGCACTGCTGAAAAAGCATAACACGTTAAAACCGATGTTCAATCACGGATTGAAAGACAATTATAATAGTGAATATTCAATAAAAATACATATAAAACTGATTTCAACAGAACTTTCATTATTTGCAGAAACATTTATTTACAGTTAAGTGAAGTATATATATATATATAGGTGTTGCTGTGCCATTACAACTAACCGTTGTCACTTATGGAAATGCTAATAAGGCCCGTGCCATTTATTCAACAATATGAAAAACAATCTCTGTTGCTGTTTGATGTGTGTTGAACTTTAAAGTCATTTTTGCATAGTGTAATTAACCTAATTTTCTATTTATAAAGCCATTTTTATGGGTAGAAATAAACTTCCTCTGTAGGTTGTACTATTACAAATTTATGAAAACCAAGGCACTTACAATAGTCAACTTAAGATATACAAAAATGTTACCACAGCCATGGTTGTAGGTAAACGGAGATTGAATATGACAGATGTGAAGCAATAAACTAATGCATAGGGTCATAAAAAATAACCGATTACATGATATGGCGATTATAAACATAAAGAAATTGCAAAGCAGCTGATCAATCTACATAAACAACCAAAGCACAGATTTATTAGCTTTTATTCATTTCTCAAGGAAAAAAACATCTTAAATCTTTTGTTCTATCAGTACAACAAGAAAATAATAAAATATCTGACTTCCTGTAAACCTATAACTGTTAATTTCGTATATTTAATCTGCGCGTGTAAGACGCGAATTTCAAGATTATCTTCGGTTAGACCGTTTCTAATTTAGAAGAAGGAATAGCATTTGAATAAAATGACAGAATAAATAAGTAGTCACAAGACCTTGTCTGTAGTCCTTAATACAGGAAAACCACAGAGAGAACTGCAGACTACCCAAAATTATCAAATACTTGGTGGGATTAAGATATTGTGTACTTGTGCATATAAGGAATTTTCCCTGCACAATAAATGAAATATACGCCTTTTAGAGAACTAGGTTGATCACTATGCAAATGAAAGACTTGTTATCGCTAGTCCCATGTCAGACAGGAGTTGAATGCATACCTGGCAGATGCTTCGGAAAAAGCATGCAACATGCGGATCACTTTTAGGTTTAGGCTGTTGTAGAACGTGTCATAAGATGATATTATCTCGGATTGCCGATGAACTTCATAAAGTTTTGAATATGTGTATTGTTATCGACTTATGTAATTGGACGTTTTTCCATTTCATTGCTCATATTGAATTTCTACGATCCAGACGTCCAATAGAAGGACGGATAGTTTGGGCACTTGGAAAAGTTTGGCATGTCGAACATTTTGTATGCCATCATTGTGAAATACCGTTTATGGGCAGCCGCTTTTATGAATGGCAAGGGCATGCTTATTGTCTTCTCCATTATCAGTCTAAAATTGGAAGTATTTGTCATATTTGTACAAAACCTGTTACTGGTATACTGGCCAAATTCACCAATAAAATCTACTGTCCTGAACACTTCCGGTGTTCATTATGTGATAGAAAACTAGATGAAAAGTAAGCACATTATCAAACATAATTTTTGAGGTTTTCTGATCATTTCATATTCAAAATGGAAATTATTTTTGTTAAGACACAATACTACTTATTAAGTTGATTAAGTAGATTGATAGAATTTCAATTAATTGTGGCTGACAATCTAAGAAATGAAAAGACGCTGTTTCTTCAAAGTACTAAAGAAACAGTTCAACAAAGAATGCTGTTTTCAGTGAAATGTCTACTTTACTGTTCAGTGTTACAGCAAGTGAATATGTTTATTATTCCCTTATAAATCAGCACCACTCCAAAGTTATTGTTGAAATGCTAAATAATTTTTTTTCAAAGTCTGAGTAATCTAGAAGGAAGTAGAAAAAGTAGTGAAAGTAAAACAGTAATTTGGAATGGAGAACTGACTTCTGCAGGATAAGAAAGTATATTGGGGTAACGATGAAACGATTGGTTATGACCATTATATACTGAAAGACTGGATCTGTTTCTAACAAACACAGATATTAAATTCGAACTGATAAACTACAAAAGCTTCCATTATGATCAAGTGGTGAGTTGAAAATCTTCTTGAATGAATCACTTTGCTTTATAGTTCAGAACAAAATACTTCGGTAGCGTTCTTGGAATCACCTAAATGGTAAAATTTTCGTCCTCTTGGATAAATAAGGAGGATAATTTTCGAAAATATTTTTGGACAGAATTCACATTTTGCGACCAATTCAATCAAGTTCATAAGAACCAGTCAATTATTAGATGCAAGTGAGAATGGTTTACAACAATATATCTTCTATGTGAAAGTAGAGGACCCTTCATTGGGGTTGTTTGAACCACATGCTTTTCCCTGTGGACACTGAAGTGTAATCGGTTTCAGTGAAAGGGTTTCGAAGTATTTCCAGAACCCCTGTTTATTACATTGTCTGCATTAATTGCTGTGACATTTTCGCACAGTAGATTAAATAAGATTTTTAACTCAGTTGATGGCATTAAGCCATTAAAGCTAGTACATCTTATACTTAAAGCTTGTTTCTCATAAACAGAAATATTTACTATGTCAAAAATTGAATCCCAAACTAGTCAGGGAGTACTGGACAGCTGTTTCGTCAGTCTAGTTTGGGACTACTCAGCAACACGCAACCACTGAGGTTCAAAGCCAGGACCTCCAGGTTACAAGGCGAGTTCCTAGACCATTAAGCCACTGAGATCCTTGAATCATCACTGCAATGCATGAAATCAGTGGAATTCTAAGTAGTGGAGTCCCTTTTTTCTGAGTAAACAACAAAGAATTCTATCTGATAATGGACCTGCAATTTTTATTCACTGTTTAGATCTAAACTATATGAAATCGATTTGAAACCGGTATGCAAAGAATGTTATGACAAACTGCCAATGCACTGGAAAAAGACTCTGGCAAAAATTCATCGAACAGATAGACAAAAGTGGAGTGATTAAAAGCTTATATATATATATATATATATATAACAAACTACGGAAGTTGTAATTAGTTCAAAAGAAGTAAAAGGAGGAGTTATGTATACACACTGAGTGAAGCCTGGAAGCCAGCTACTCAATTTAAATGTAAAAAATATGTTATTTCTTCTTACATTCTATGTATTTCGTTGGATACTATAATTCTATATCAATCTTCAGTAATAGTAATAATAATCCATTTTTTGCAACCGCGGTATTTTTCTATCAGCTGCTTATTCTTAAATACCGCGCCCACATGGTAAGTACTAAGGTAACTAAGGTACTCTACAGTAGCTTATCCGTTATTACTCTAACAGACAACTGATTTGTGAGAGCAAACAAGGGGTATTTAAGTTAGAGCGGCAAAGTTAACATTTAAGCACGCATAAGTACCAACAGACAAATGACCTTGAATGCACCAACCACATGATAAAGGTGATCTCTGCGTATAAAATATATGTGTTCATGATAATAATGGATTAAATGCCATGAAACTGTCACACAGACAGGATACCTCTCTATGACGTTTGACAGAAATACTTCTCAGTTTGGGATAAGAGTATCACTGGAGTAATTTAACCCCAATCTGATCATGCAGTTATCTAGTCTTCCAACCCTAGTAGTAACACTAATCTTTCCTTATCTTAACTCTAATATGAAAATATCCCTAAACGAAAACCTAATCTAACTCGAAATCCCCCTAATGTAGCCTTCCTTAGGTAAACCTTACCCTAACCTCTCCTTAGCCTAAACCTTAACTTAATTCATCCCAAACCCAACTTGAAACTTGCCAGATATCCCATTTATTAATACAACGCTAAATCATGCATATTTTATTCATGATTACAATAACATTTATCAGCTTTCGCCAACATCCTCACTGAACGTTTCAAGGCCATCGATGCGGTAACACTTCACTGGTACTTATTGGTGCTTAAAGTTTAACTTATCAGCCAAAAAAAGCCAAATAGGATAATGTTCACGAATCCCATGCATGCAAATCAACTATTTGAATCAATCAGCCACATCACCACAAATTATGAAATTAATGACAACTGAATTATCTAATTTATGAAAAGGAGAAAAACCTCGATAGTGGATTTAATTAGCTTAAGAAAAAGAATTTACATTACAGTAAGTAAGTAAGAATGAAGGAATTTGTTAAAAGCCTATGAAAATGCATTTAAGATTATGATCAAAATAAAAAATTATTTACATAAAACAATCAGTGATGTAAGTGGTTTTAGAAAACAGAAAGACTGAGCGAAGAAATATTTACTTTTCAATTAGATCTTCATCTCTGGCTCTACTCTAATATGTATAACATTTTTATTACAATACACAACAGTTTACCAATCAATCGGCGATATGTTTGTTAACAATAATTATTCAGTGTCGACATGTCAATGGGCTGATAATTAACGAAGAAAATTAATACACACAATTAAAAGGTAGAAATGGTCACAACACGTGGATTGCATAATGCATAATTTTGGGAAAAATGAAGAGTAATTAAGTAATAAGCGTGTGCACAGATTGATTACGTAACGTATTATTAAAGAAAATAAAACGATTTGGACAATGATAATTTGCAACTAAGGATGAAGTGGTCATAAGATTAAAATAATTTTACTAGGATAACACAGTGGTTAGGACTCTCGCCGACCATGCACATGGTCCGAGGTTCGATCCCCTGCCGACGCACACCTGATATCTATAGTCAGCCTGTAAAATTTGGGCTACCGATATCCATGCTGAAAATTCCATACTTGTACCAAAAATACAGTGTGGAATCAAGCTGTAATCACAAATAAATAAATAAATAAAAATAATTAAAGATGAAGTAGTCAGAAAAGTAAGATAATTTGGACAATTATAATTTTTGTAATTTTCAAAGTTTTAGGGGCGGGGGGCGAAGCAGTCCGGTTTATACATTCATGTAACAATGGCCAAGGTAATAAAAGTGGTTGTACAAATTACTTCTGAACACACAGGTGTGGCTTCTTCAAATGGATTCCTATTGCTTCAGCTGTATGTAGGAGACGAACTCGTAAAGCAAAATCAAGGTTAGTAGGAATGCAATAAAAACTTTTAAATACAGTATAAACGTCAACCTTATTGTCACTACCTACAAGGTGTGCTAAAATAGAGCTACAAATCGATCTTGCTTAACCATGTTGCAGAATGATGTTCGGAAATACGATGATTAACCTGCCTAACTCTACGCCGAATGTAGCTGGCTCCGCAGCTGCAGTCAAACTGGTAGATACACAGAGAAGAGGTAAATTTAGGTAGTTTATCCTTATTTCTCAAACGTAGAATAAGTGTGGTTGTGAAGAGACAACATACTTCTGCTACATAATAAGCTCTTTTAACTGCATTCTTCAGGTGCTGGCTGTGTTATTATTTCTCTGATGTTGTCACCGAGGAACTGCGGTCTTGTGAAAAGTGGTTTTTTCGGAACTGTTGCCATGCTGACTCTCCTAGGTGCTGAATTCATATTTTTCTCAATGAACTTATCTGGATAGCCACTTTTTTCTAAGTAATTCTCTAATAATCTTAAGCTCCTCATTGAGGCAGTCGTCTGAACAGATTAACCTAGCTCTATGAACCAGACACTTTACCAGGTTACGTTTGTATTTCAAAGGTACAAAACTCAAAAATTGAGTGTGCTGACCTGTTGCTGTAGGTTTCCTATACATACTCCTTCTTAGTGTGCCATCTTCTTTCCTTACCATGAAGCAGTCTAGGAATGAAATACAGTCATTACTTTCTTTCTCTATGGTAAAGTTTATTGCTGAATGGGCATCATCAAACTTGTCAAGGATGTTCATTTCATCATTCTCGTTTTTCATAACCAGAAATGTATCATCCGTATATTGACAGTAGAAATCTCAGTCATTGATTACTCCTTTCAGTGGTCCATTCTCTAACTTAGAGAGGAAAAAATCAGCTAGAATTGGACCTAATGGGGAACCCATAGCTACACCATCAGTTTGTCTGTAATATTCCTTATTGAATAAGAAATAAACATTCATTGTACATCTTGGAATGAGTTCTTTCAAGGAGGATACAGAAATGCCGTTGTGTATGTGATTTGTTTTGTAAAGAATTACCCTATATTCGTTTCAGCTGTAAGTGAGACTTTCACTCTTCAATAAGTTAATTTAAATTCATTCGGCTGATAATGAAAAACATAACAAAAGTAAGATTCTTTGAAACATATTTCTTCTTGTTTGTGCTTTAATCAACATCTACGTTCTGTAAAGTCATCAGTTCGACAAATATAATCTGTTTAAATTACACCAAATACTTTCAGAGAAATTAAACGCTTCCTCTGCTTTAACAAAAGGTTAGTGAGTAGCTGTATGAACACAACAAACATTGTGAATGCAAACATCAAAGAAAGGAGGGAAAACTTGTAAAATAAACTTACAACCGAGTTATCAACATCTTAAGGTAATATTTACTCTAAAAAATAAACATTTCTCTGTTAGGAAAAAAACATGCTCAAAAAATAATTAAAAGTATACTTGACGCTTCTTCAAAACTAAAATTTACTGCATCAGTTGGAACCCAGTTACACGAGAGAAACACTTATTTGTTAGGCCATTTATTGGTTGGTGATACTTCACAGTTTCATGTGCTTAGACTGGTGAAGTGGGATTAGAATAAGAAATCCATTGGCTAAAAGTCCAGTTCTTCAGGTAGTAGCCCAGCTTTCATGATAAAAAGAAGGAAAGGAATATTGAATTTGACATAATCACAAATTAATGTGGTTTACCAACGATTTGTAAAGCGAGTATAGTCATTCACTAGATATTATACTATATTTGTGTGAGTAGAATAGCAGATTCATTGTTCCCGCTAAATATTCTCACAAAATTCGAGCGTTAGCAAAAACATTATTGTTTCACAAAATAGGGAAAACTCAAACAGTTAGCAAGAAAAGTCACTATCCATATCAAAATTACCATATATGAAGGGGGAAAACATTGAAAAATTACACTGTCACTCAAAAAAATCTTAAAATAAAAGAAAATCCATACGCAGAAATGTCGACAGGGCGCAAATTAACATATAGAACCACATGAGCGAAACAAAACAAAAAAAGGTGAAAAGAAAACAAATAAGAATGAAAAACTAGATACAAAAAAATACCCATAGACAATCGAATAAACAGGAACAAAACCTAAAAATCAATAAAATAAAGAATATATCACACATGGTCAAAAAACATATATATCTAAGGAAACAAACGTGGAAACTAAAAAACACACCTCGAAACCAGAAAGAACGCAGAGAGCAAAAATAGCAAACACTCTCCTAAATATCATCACCTGATTTCGGTGGTGACTGGTCATCGTCCACCTGAGATTTCATGCTGGTTAAGCCTACAGTGACGGAGGCTTGTGCAGAGACTCCTGCACCACGTCAATGTCAACTACTACACATTTGCCTATTCAGAGAATAGGGCCTGTTACAGCTCGGGTTCACTAGCTAAGTCACGTGGAAACTACCGGTCAACTTTGTGATGACGCTAACACCATGTTCGGCGTCTCAGCAGTCGTCATTCCTAGCATGAGATAACAGACCTTTGCCATCAGGTAGCTTCTCTGATCCAGGTAGAATCACGATAGCCTCCTGTATCAGGTGTTCATTCGACCTGCAACAATCGTCTCACACCCAGTGTGTCAGACGTCTTCAATGATGCTTGTGATCTGCACGAGTCAGGCTGGCCAACTCCTCGTGAAACCGAATTCACTAAGCACCACAATTCTCAAATGAAGATTGGTGAGACAATCGACGAAATTCAAGAGTCATCACACCTCCATCGTTGTGGTAGACTGAGGGCCATCATCATATTGTCTCCACGAGAACTCCAAGTGAAAAACAATGCATTCAAGTATAAATCATATTAAAATCAAACCTGCCGACAAAGTTCCTACAGATCCATTCCCACAAAGCGACACGAAAGACAAACAACAAAACACTGCACAACTAGACTTC